CCCGGATTTGAACCGGGGTTGTCACGGCCACAACGTGACGTCCTAACCACTAGACGATAGCGACTCTAATAAAATTATTATCAGAGAAGTGCGGAGGCGTACAAGTTATCAGGAGTTTCAGTACTGATTGGACACCAACTCGACCCGGTTCATTCCAGTCGGTCTCCCCGCTAATATTAGGGTACGTGACCTTCCCATTCTACTTTCACTAGTCCCTCACAAGACGCTTCCAAGTAATGCAGAGCTGCATTGCGATCACCAGCATCGATTGCGTTTTTTGCTATACAGCGGAATATTGTTAAGCGGTCCAGTGTGTCCACTGACGTACCATCGGGGCCCTTGCATAAGTACTCACCCACCAACTACAAGGGACTGTCACATATCGACGCACTGTAACCGGTGTGTTCACCTTGAGGCACCGAGGCACGTACTGCTGGAGCTCCTCCGAACACTCTAATTTGTTCATAACGGCGACCAGAAGCTGCGGCGATAGGTCCTCGTCTTTTCTCGAGTCGACCTCTTCCAGCTCCGATATAATCTCAGCAACTACCACAGGGCCAGACTCTCCTGGCTAAGCATGGACATTTATCGAGTCACGTCACAACCTTTCAATGGTCAAACGTGTGGCACCATGCGTATACACGAGGCTACACCGCTGATCAAGTCTCGTGCAGCCTGCACGGTGCAGGTGCCCGAGCTCAACCAAATAAAAAACTTCGTCATGAGCCGAGAACATAGGACGGAATTCTGCGGCTAGTAGCGTTTGATTTCGAATAGCGTGGTGAGAGTTGAGACTTCTGCATACCTGTACCGAATTCACAAGTGGCAACGATCAAGCTTTGCCAAGAAGAATCAAGATACAGAACTCTGAACCGATCAAAAAGATCCGCGACAAACGAATATAAATTATATTCGTATATTATATAATCCACAAGCAGATGAGGCAAGTACCATAAAGTTGTTATCCACGAGTTACCCATGTACCCGTTACGGGTACATAAAATGATTGCCAGCTCTTACTTGTGTTAGTGAGCCTCCCGTCAACTGCACAGTTGACCATAGCAAGCAAGGGCTGTGACTTTGCGGAGGCTTCCGAACACAAGTGCAGTGCTTCCTTAGCGAGTCGGATACCTTCCGCGGCACTAGCTCCGACAACAACATGGTCATTCAACTTGACCTTCCTCATAGTTGGCGGTCCTATACGAGCAGAGAGCTTGAGCTTGCCAGCAGCGATACTTCGACTCTTGATCAACTAACTGCAGACAGAGCTCGAACCATGTCGATGCCGTAGCATAGTGTCCACATGTGTACAACTGAAGCGATTTCAAGGCTTCAAAGGGCGACCGAACAGTTGACCAGCTTACCCCTGCTGCCATGTTCCAAACGATTCCTGAACACTGTAACTTCACCTCTTCGTCTACCCAGATATTAGTGCCCGAGATGAGGACAACCACGTCACGCAAGACGTTGCTTAGACCATGCGATGCACCGGCGCGCAAGCGCGTACCTTCAGGTTTCCATATCAAAGACGATTTGAAAGGCACTCTGCAGGAGAATAAGGAAGTATGTCCCAATCGTCACAAATCGAATCGAGCAATTGAGATTTTCAACTATGTTAGTAACTATTGAGTCTGAAATTTTGAGGCGGATGAGCTTATACGGAGCGTGGCTCATCCGCTCGATACGCGGACCGGATTCCCCATACCGGCCTAGGCGGTACGTCTCGAAACCGGACGTCTCACCCTGTAAGGTTCTGTCCTGACTTGCTCAAGATAGATAGAGCGGCGCACGAATTTTACCAGTGCACGTCATTAACATGTGCTTTTGGAGACTGACCCCATCCCGTCCAGCCCGTGTACCATCATCCCGTCCTTCCCCTCGCGTGATCGCTCGGGAAATAGTTCCTATGGCATCGGCTACACTAGCCGCCAGTAATACGAGCGAAGGTCCGTCACAATCCCGCTCCAGGGATCGCAGCACCAGACCGAGTGCCTGACGTAACACAGCAGGACCCATATTCCCAACTATCCAAGCAAAAGAAGACATGGCGTACATCGAATATCTCATCCAACCTCTCTGATGAGGCTCGAATGGAGTCATATCCTCCGCTAGG